TTAGCATTAACTTTAGCATTAACTTTACGATGTTTCTGACAACGGGCCCCTGGTCATATAGCCCCCATTATATGCATGTTCTAATTGTTTGCAAAAAAACTATAGTCTAATATTACTCAATATTACAAGCATATAAATTCCTGTTGTTACAAAATAATGCGCCTTAATTGTCATAATTATAACCTACATGATACTTATATTTGTATTCTTTAATTGCCATAAAACCATATGCTTTGGTGTAGACAACTCAATATTACAGGCATAAATTCCTGTTGTTATAAAATAACGCACCTGTTTGCAAAAAAAATTGTAGTCTAATATTACTCAATATTACAGGCATAAATGCCTGTTGATAAAAAAATATTACACATGGTCATATAGCCTATATGGTATCCATGTTCAAACTGTTTGCGAAAAAACTATAGTCTAATATTACTCAATATTACAGGCATAAATGCCTGTTGATAAAAAATAATTAAAATTGAAATAAAGATTTTTTTCCTTTCGAAAAGCGGGTTGCATTGAGAGACTTCTTGATTACTAAATACCTTGCTTAAGGCACCCATCTCACAAATATCGCATTTCATAACATGCATCTCACGTATAAACTATGAAATATTAAAAATATACGTTTATGTGATTTTAGTTCAATATAATAATTATACATTACGCGTATATACACGCACGCACGCGCGCACACATATAAATTGTTACAGTAGAAAAACCACGTTACAATCACGTTATTGAGAATACATTAACTATAACGTTATTTCAAAGTTGCCATGCAGATTCCCATACAATGACGTTATGTTAACGTTGCATAAAAACGTTCTTATAAACGTTTCAAAAACGTTATAAAAACCCGACATATTTACGACACATACATAGACGTTACGAAATAACGTTATAAAAACTTTTGCATAACATTATAAAAACGTTGTAAACGTTCGCTGGATTTCAAACAGCAATATTTGACTACTCTGTTACCTTATTACTGTTCTACACTGTTATAAATATAACCTGGCAAAGGTTTGGGGATAATATTTGTGTTGTCATTACCTGAGTGTTCTATTAAAATGTGTTTCTTCAACAAATGTAGGCCTACTCCTCGTGAAAATATCACATCACTTCGCTTTGCTTAATAGTGTTTGCTTTGCCTCAATTTTCTTCAATAAAAGCCGCGTACACTACCGAAAGTAACGCTGTATACACGTGAAGCAGTTAGATGCATGTCTAGGGAATGCGAATTATAATACACTGTATTACAAGGTAAACAATCGGCTGCATTTGCTATAATAATTAACGTTCTGTTCGGTGTCCGCTCCGCAGCCGATATCTGGCATAAATAATCCGATCTTGTCCGAAATAAAAACACCCTCCTAGCTATATAACAAACTCAGATTTCATCGTGGAATAGAGTTGTCAACAGATAGGTGCTTGGTATTCGGGCGCACGATAACTAGTATTATTCACAATAAACAAATTGAGAAATTCGTTGGCATCTATTGCTAAAACGCAGAAAGGTTAGGGCTTGATACATAATCGTAAGGTAATAGATCGTTCGTGTTGGACAGATTTAAAATTGGATGAGGGCATCGATCTCAGCGTGACGTTTTCACCTGTGCATTGCTCGCACGAAGGAGATACACATTGGCCATTAGCTATGCCTTGTTTGTCTTCTTATATGGTGAAACAAACTGAGCTGAAGCCTGCGATCAGAAAGAGAGACTGTGAGCTAAACTGAAGTTAGATATCCCTAGTCGGTCTGATCAGATGGTGAAACGTATTGAACTAAAGCCCGACTCGCAACAGAACTAGAGCAGCTAGGCGATCCGTGAAGATCTGTTAACTCCTTGTGAACTATAGGAGCTAACTTGCTTTTTCACGTACGGGCTTTTATAGTACAGGACACGCCCCGTCACATGATCTCAATTTTCGTATTGGAAGCTGTTGCGTTGTAGGTATTAGTATTACAAGAATTATTGTTTGTCATAAATAAAAAAAACTTTCTTGGCCATTTAGCTCACTGGATATTCGTGGAGGAATTGGGTTCTAAACCCAATATCTAGTTGCCTGCAAGCTAAACCTAGTATTACTGGCACCAGTGGTTGCTGTGAATAAATTGCACGTTTACGTGGTAACCGATATATTACCAGTTATATTGTTTGCCTGGAATAAAAAACAATCATCTTGATCACTACCCCACTCAGATGTTTATATTTAGGTAAGTTTGCGACAAAACTATGCACTCATCAGCGTACTAACCAACATCATTACAGACATGACTGTATGTTTTGAATTAAAAAAATCCACTTGGTATCATAGCTGACTCAATGTTACAGTGGATGGATATCTGTTATTAACTATTAGAAGCAATAAATGGCTTTCATAAAAAAAATCGTTGGTCACATAACCCTCATCGATGATCGTGTAGCAGTCGAATTTGTGGACAAACTTGGTTTGTGAATAGGATAAACAAATATATATATTATAGTATTACAGAGTCTCATCCAGCGCTTGTCCTTAAAAAATATGGCCCCCAATCATAACTCACGACGAATATTCGTTTTAGTAATTGAGTTTGCGATAAATTTTGCGCTCGTGTGTGGGATGAACAATATTATTTAAGTGTATTCACGCTTGGCTTAAAAAATAATGCACCGTATGGTTTACGACACGAACTTATGCGACTATAGTACTGATAATTATATATATATATATAATGATATTATATATATATTATATTATATAGTATATGATCTCAGGAGTAGATAATAGGGAATAGTAATAGGGAATGAATTTCCTAATTATCTACTTCTGATATAATATATATATTATATATATAGTATCGATCACTACTTAATATTATCTTTATAACCCTACTATTAAACTTTTTTGGCAGTGCGCCGTAAGTTATATAGGCCAGGCTGTACGAGGCTGCACAAGTCAAACTATGAAAAAATGCTTGCTGTGCTGTGGGGCACAAGCCAGGCATTCCGCGCAGCATTTACAAAGTTTCTCAAGAAGCAAGTTTATTCGGAGGTAAAGAAATTCGGGGAAACCCCGTCTGTACTACGCCAAAATTTAAGCTTGGCAAACATCAATAGTTTCAACTGGAACACTGCTATTGCCGAAATTGAAGCTGGCATGCCACTCATCTTTAACACCTACTGTGGCATGATGGCGAAGAGGAGACGTTGCACCAAGCAAACCAAGGCTGGGTGCATCCATTGGCATCATGTTGGCTAACAGACAGCCAAAGGCCTACAAACTTCTGCCAGCATGGGTTGGGGTCGAGCTGTGGAGGAGTGGCTGCAAGCAGAAGGTGGGCTGATCTCTCAGTGTTAACATGATAAATGTTAAACTCTTTTGCAGAATTCTACTGAAAATTTAAATCCTCTCAGCTTATGCAGAAACTTGAAAATATTTGTTTAACAGGTTTTCTCATGCTTGAGTCACGTTGGCATCTGCCAAACGGCGTCATCTGCACGGCGATGTGTCGATAAGATAGCGAGTGAGTTCGACAAAGAATTACGCCAATGGAAGAATGACATAGAGGTGGGTTAACGACTTGACAGTTAACTTTTATTCTGTAGTGACAGAGTAACTGATCGGTGTACATGCCAATTGTATTTGTTAAAAGCAAATGGTTTCTTTTTTACATTGATTTTTAGTGTGGCACCAATAGAACGTTGCCAATAATGGGGCAGACAGCAACAGATGATTTGGGTGTACGCCCACTCGATTTTTCATCTGATGCTGCTGATGATGATGATGATCATGATGACGATTGTGGTGGATGCGAGAAGACCTGCCTACAGCGACAATCTGTGAAAAAGAGCAGCAGTAAGTATCTAATGAAATTTTACTATTATTTCATCGCTTTGTGAAAAATAATTTTTGTGGTAACTGTCAAATTGTCTATTGATCCTGGATTCTCCTTTTGCTGGGACAACGTCCAACTGCAATCGACTGTTCGGCACCAAGGGAGTGAAGCCTCCAACAAGATGCTTCTGATGGCCAACTCGTATGCTGTTCTGCACAGAGTGTCATTTCGGTAAGCATGGTAAAGGAATAAAAACTAACACTCCAAACAGCCTACTGTGTTATAGCAGTGCTGCACTAGACTACAGTAACACACTTACTGATTTCCATGCAACAGGGACTATGATGAAGAAGGCACCGTCGCAGCCAGCACGATCCCATTGCACGATCCCATTGAATAATATGTCTGACATCCGTAACTTGAATTCCCATGCCGAAGGCAATGGTGCATACAACGCATCGTACGATGGAGTCCACTTTGACGAAAGTGTTTAAGACATATTGTTCTTGAAGTTTTCCAATGCTGCCATGGTACATGGTGATTCCGAGGTTTTCCATTGTGTGCGTCTTTCCTTGCCAGGCGTCTTCTCCTATGCGACTTAGCAGGTCCTCGTATACAGCTGCCACTTGGTTGATTGATCTGCAACGCAATTGCGACAGTTACATTGACGTTAACATTTGTTCAAACTTCGTGTGCATGTGGTATAAATCGTATGGTACCTGCAGTAAATGATGGTTTTTTCAGCATTCGGACCCGCTGTCCTCATGTGGTCCACCAACCACTCCAACTCCTGTTTGTAGCTGCGTACTCCCGTTTTCCATTTAATGTAGATGTTTTTTCTGTAATATAACAAAGTTAGAAAAGAAAATCACTAAGAAAAACCAATATTTAATTGTTACTTAAATATTGTGTTAAATAACAATAACATGTATATTTTGTATTTGAAATTAAGAAAGACTAGATGCTTTTGAAAACGTTTTACTTTAGAATGAACTATTCAAGAAAGTATGTAGACACAGAAACATTGTAAGGTATTAACCTGTCTGGAACAGCTGCAATGGTTTGGACCTCATCCGGCTTGATGTTCAATATGTCCAAAATTGATTGATGCAACTGATCCGTGCAGGTTGCCGTCAGAAAAAGCCATCTCGTTGACTTCGGTAGGATGGAATACACTCTGCTGATTTCCATGTACTCAGGTCGGAAATCAAGACCCCTAGAGTGAATAAGAACGACTTGTCATGGTATACCAAAGTGAATGAGATTAGCAATGACTTTAGAACTGAACGGAAATTAAAACAAAAAGAAATCAGTTAAAAACTGAAGTATATGAATAAATTGTTTCATTATGTTGGTTAAAACTGGTAATGTGCAATATACCATTCAGAAATACAGTGAGCCTCGTCACACGTAAACAGACACAGTCTTTCACCAAGCTGCACGATCATCTCTCGCCAAATGTCCATACTCATAGCCTCTGGGCTACAGAACACGACAGTAAATTTTCCTGCTAAAAGGCCTACAAAACAATGAAAAACTTTTATTATTTGTCATTTGGAAAAGAGCATAACTTCATTGAAATGTCGTACTTTCAATAACAGTAACGTTTTATCATACATTCATTTTGCCTACAAGAAAAATGTAGGCTATATACGCTGAGACACTGTTGCATTTAAGATATCCGTAAAAAGACCACTCTGCAAACATCATCATAGAATAAATGCCATGTATTGCCATTTCTACTGTTGCAACACCTTTGCTCACCTCTTTTCGTGTCAGGGTGGAGCTCACTCGGAGGTAGTATGGCTGCTGCCGATACGCCCATTCTCAATAAAATCTCCACTTGGTTGAACATTAATGCGCGCAGTGGGCACACCACCAGACTGACATGATGTGGTGTCTTGACAGACTTTATCTGAATCACAAGTATAATTGTTATTATCTAACTAGAAATAGTTATTTAATAATTAATAATTAATAATTGCTTAGGAAATAATTATAAAATTTTAGAAATAATTGCAGAATTTGTAATATTTTTTTTCACATTTAAAAAGGTTTCAGTTGTCCGAATTATATAAACAGATAGGCCTATATATAAATAACCATTGTATAGGAATATATATGTAAAGTTGTTTAAATAGTGTATAACTTGAAGTGGATATAGTAACAATGTATGTGTTACTCTGGCATAATTTTTTAATGGGGACTAATTTTGCCAAGTAAAGTAAGTCAATTAATTGAAATTTGAAATTAAAGAAATTAATTAATTAGAAAATTATAATAATAATTATAATAATAATATTAATAATATTAATAATAAATTAATAATATTATTATTAATAATTAATTAATTATAATTAATAATATTATTCATATTAATAATTAATAATATTAATAATATTAATATAATATTAAGCCCATAAAAAAAGATGTTAGTTTTATCATCCCGCCCGCATCACTTTTTCCGCCCGCATCGAAATTATTTTTTTTTTTATTTTTTAATTCAGATTGACCGGTGTGTATTCAGAAAACACACCGGCTTTCAAGCCAAATTCATTCGTTAGAGTGTTAGTCGCTTCTTGACATTAACAATTATGAAATATTACTTACTTGTTGATATAGCTTTACCTACTTCTTTATACCTGTGTCTTTTTAAAAGTACCCTGCGCATTTTGCGCTACGTAATTATTGCTTGCGATTTCAATTTTGCCAAGAACATAGCGCTGTGGCTGTTGGTCTGCCTACTTGTCTTGATTGTTTTTGTGCCCACGGGCCCACTTGTTACTCTTTCTTTACTATTCTAATTGTTAATTCCATTTTGTGTTTGTGTTCGGAAAGAAAAACAAAACCCCACCGCCTCATCACTTTTCTTTAGATGACAAGGATGTATAAACTAACTTTTTTTTATGGGGCCTAATAATAAAATAATAATTTTTAATGGGGACTAATTTTTTCCAAATAATATGCAATCAATAGGCCTAATAGTAATATAGCACCCTAATGAAACTCACCTTATCAAGTGCTATAATGGCAATAAAGTGTAAATTAAACTCTTGCCATAGCCAGTGGGAGTAGCAGCAAAAAACATTCCTGTTGTTGATTTTATGTCCCTTTTTTATTTCTTCGTACGTGCTGTAGAACGTCGCCATGTTTGTACATCAACACCGTCGTTGCCATCGATACGCGGGTATTATATATGCTCTGGTGTCTTCTACAACCGCGTGCAACCTGCCCACCCTCCACTTGGAAATACATTGTGCCCGTTACCTAGCGCCGGAACCGCGCGAGCGTTCGCAACGAGAAATGGCGGTTCCAAGTTGATAAACAGTCTTCGTCGACGAGTAATATCGCAAGTACAATATTTTAAGCGATGAGTTTGCTGTTGTATTTTAGTGTTGAATAGTAACTTAAGACATTTGTCCGGCAGAGAATGTGTTTTATTTGGCATACGCGAAGAGTTATCATAGGCTAAAAGTTTCGGAAAAAAACTCATATTGCCAGGTTGCCATATAAGTTCGGTTCAAGGAACTAGAGAACATGTAGCCCTGCGGCAACTGTACGCGGGCTATAGTTACTAGAGCTAATCATCACAACAGGCAATTGATGGTAGATTTCGATCAGCCGGTATGTCGACGAAAGTAGGTATACCATCGCGCTGAAACGTCCAGGCGGGCCCGTTGCCAGAAACTTCGGTAAAGTTACGAATTAATTTTAAGTCCATAACTGTGTAAATTAATGCTTAAAGGAGACTTACGCAACGAATTTTCCATGGTAAAATTTGATTAAAAAAATGCCATTTTTTTACATTAAAAGAAGACTAACGTTACTAAATATATCCTCAAACTCTCACCTGATAAAATGTTTTTTAAACGTTAGTTAAATTGCACAAATCTAGACGATTTGTAAATTATCTGTTGTGTAACACTATTCCCTAGTACTGTTCACGGATACTGCGTCTCTCTGTTTTTCACGCGGCAAAATTAGGGCATATAAAGAAGGTATATAAGCATGAAAGTAAACAGAAACACTAATTGTATTTTTCATACATTTTATTTTGTAGAAATAATCCACAAATATACTTACCTTGATGGTGCTAGAAATCGTGACGTACATCACGTTTAAGGTTTTAAAGGAGCGTTCCCAGAAGCGCAACTTAAACTAAACTTTACTTAAAGCCTCACTAATGCGCACCAGAACTGCTAATTTTTCTCCAGTCTAGACTAGCAAATACTTCGTGTCATGCATATCATACTACCTTATGGCAAAATAAACTCTATGTTCCTCATTTCACTGCGGCGTTGTCTATAAAAAGGTAATTTTTTGAAAAATACCTCGCAATGTTGTTGAAAATCTCCCGATGTTGTTGACAGTTTCCCCAATCCCCTAGCAACCGTGCAGGCGGTGGCGGCGGTAAAACAGCGCTACGGGCGGCAGCAAAGATAAAAACATGTGACGTCAGCGTCACCGACTTCGAATCTATTTTGTTTGGAAAACAGTGCTGGCGTTTGCGTCCAGTTTTCTCACCTCTTTTCTTGGTGGGTTTTGAAGCAAACGCGCAGTGAATAGGAGCGAACTAGAGTTTATTATTGTCATAAGGATAGTGTGATTCTGGCATGACACAAGTATTTGCTAGTCTAGTAGCTAGAGAAATTAGCATTTGGACGCGCATTGTGAGCCTTTAAGTGAAAACTTACGAAAACCGGAACTTGCTAATTGTTAGTTATACCGCATTGCATTTCGGGGACGCAGACGATTTGTTTACATCTGCAGCCGATCAGCTGATTTGACTTTACCGACTCACATATCGAAAATTTCCTCCTGATAATTACACATTTTACCCGTTATTCAAAGTTATTTCATTTAACGCCCCCCCCCTCAAATTGTTTATATTAATGTTACTAATTACTTATTCATATAACTTATTTTGTATTTATTATTAGTAGTAGTACTAGTAGTTAACTTAAAACTTGAATTTTGTGTACCTACTAGGCCTACTGTGTAATTTCACGTAACTAAATGGAGTCTTGGCAACAACAGCAAGGCCGCTAGATCTTATTTTTACAGTGCAAAGTTAAGTGGAGTAACCTGACGACAGATGTTAGGAAGAAAGAGAGGCACAACGTGGCCGAAACACGTCGAACAGGTGCATCATAAAAAAACGTTCATCATTCAATTTCCTTACATGCCATATAACGATGATGAAAAAGAAGTGATTAACGATTATCACAAAGCTATTTGTAAAGACGAATATTATGATATTAACACCCTTTCATTAACGTTAAGATAAGATGAAGGTTATACGACACATTTATTCCTTGACAGTTGGCACCCCAGGAGGAGGACAAGCAGCTCTGGCCAACATATCAGATGTTGAAACAAAGATTTTAGAATGTTTCATCCCGCCGGAAACAGCGTTGCTGGTGTGACGGGAGGAATGGAGATATCTGGTAAATGTTGCATTATATTGTCATATTGAAATTTAAACATTAAATGTTCGACTATTTTTGGGTTTTTCCCCCCCCCGCCGTATTTTAAAAGTTTTCACTAATTTAATGTGCATGGGTAAAGCACTGCAAACGCTGATGGCGTTGCCATCATCGACATGATGACAAAGTGATGCAGACATGCCACAACCTCCCCGAAAAAGGCCAGAAAGGTTGAAAAGTAAATAATCCTACTACTTAATATTCCATTTATTTACAAACAGTATAAACATTTTCTTGTATCTCATATATGCAGTGCCATCATAATCATATATTTAAATTGGCAAATTCCCATGACGTTTTCCATTAACATGAATAGGTATATTAACACATATTATAATTAATATTACTTACGAGTCGTTTGAACCAGATATATTGGCGAGCTAAAGCGCAAAATCACCATTTGACAGGTACATGTTAAGTTAGTGGTCTTGGTGGCAAGCTGTACTATGAAATCAAATCTTTAACAATTTATCCCCTGGGTGACAAATGGTATTTATTACCACAATAATATTTGACACACCAAATGTCTATAACACATAAAAATATAAATAATGTAAAACACAATTGAAATAAATATTCATTTCTTTATCCCATAGGAATAGAAGACACCAGGAACTGGTGCATGCGAATTGAAGACATTCAACTAAAGAGTGTCAAGCCTTATAAATATAGTCTCTCTCTCTTCTCTCCTCTCTCTCTCTCTCTCTCTCTCCCTCTCTCTCAGCATCCATCACACTCTTCTCTCGTCTTCTCATTATATATTACATATTACTAATACATATTATATATTATTTGTAGTGAAGAGAATAAATGACGAAAGCGAGGAGTAGATCTACAGGTGAGACATTTTGATTACACATTTGTTGTTGATTACAACATTTGACATTGCTTGGAAAGATATCCGCAGCGGTGAGGATAACAAAACAAGTGTTTCTTATTCGCACCGCGATGAAGTCTCGCAGTGCACGCCACGCAAGCGCGAAAGTTTAACTGATAGCCTTGCGCCACTGAGCTCTAATATCATCGGAATTTTTTTTTTTAAATTTTTTTACATTTTATATTTCATACGTGGTCCGGTATAAATTTCAGGATCGAATGGTTCGATTCGCAGATCGAATCATTCAATCTTCGAATCGAACAATTCGATCCTGAAATTTATACCAGAATCGATCGACTCGATTCCAAAATCGAACGATTCTATTCCATAATTGAATGATTTGATTCCAAAACCGAATGGTTTGATGCAAGATTCGAATGATCGACCAACAATCGAGGCATGGTATATCAATGGATGCAATTATACTTTTGGCAGGGAATTATTGTCGATTTATTGCATATAACATATGATGAAAAATCAAATATTAATATGCGGATAAATCAAATGTTATACGTGATAAATTCGAATGTACAGTTATGTCAT